CCGGTGGATGTCCTACATTCCACACTACCTGCCCACATCCCATCCACTTTTCTGCACAGGTGATCCACCCTGGAGCTCCTGCACCCTTAGCCCTTTGCGGAGGTGTCCTTTCTCCTGGTCCAGGACCGTTCCCTTGGGTCATGGCAGGCGGAAATGTGAAAACGTTTCAGGGTTTCATTACACCAATATTTATCAGAAGTCTACTTTAAATGAGTCGATTACGTGTCGTGAGCCCTCTAATCCTTATCTTGAGTATTGGAGAAAAAATGGAGTGGCCCCCCCGAACTGGAGTTTCACCGACAACAGTAATTCTATTTTTGCACGAGGAGGAAGCAGGGAGTACGATTCAGTTGGTTTCCCTAAGAAGGGAACTAAGCGAACATGAAAGTGGAAATGTCTTTCATGGTTTTGAAGGCTTCTGGTGATCTGCGCCGCTATGCCCTCCTCGACCAACTACTACTTGAGCTTTCCTTACTAATGTATTGCGTTTATAGTAGCCAAACGAGGCCGGTTTTGAAGTGGGGGATGGGGAAGGAGTAATGGGTGAGCATTGCTAAGTGTTTCGTTTCTTAACCACGTGCTTGAAATTTGCCAAATTGCCTCTGTCTCGCCGATGTTCCTATGAGAAGTGGCTCGTTTACAAAACAGCTTGTGCAGAAATCCTAAACAAGTCATAAAGTTAACGCAACTTGTGAAGGTTTCATGTTTCTCTAAGCGGTAATTCAAGTGCGCTCGAAAAACGGCTATTTTCGTAATGGATAAGGTATTGCTTTTGATTTCATTGTCACATAGGGAACTAATTGGTTGTCCGTTAACAAAATATTAATTCGCATAAAGCATATACGTATTGGAATATAAGTGACATTGAAACTTATGAGCTTAGTGGCAAGTTTCTTTCAGCCTTCAGAAATTCGCTCTTAGCAGAGTTCGTACAAATATTCTACAATATTAGACTGATCTCCTATTGCCTGCTCCAGTGAGCAAGGCTTGAGAGTGATTCGATCTATTTATCACTTCAAAACACCCGTAACTTCCTTTAGATTTCCAAAATTTACTATAATACATTTCACCTTCTATTAACTCATACCGACAGTGATGCCATAATTACTCTTACCATCAATCTTGTGGGTTAACTAAAGGATTCCTGCCACTGCTCGATTTTTAATAGTTGATGGTTGCATAGAAATCTGTAGTATTCTTAATGAGTTTTGTTAAGTTTACAGTTCCATAGAGATGAGTAGTTATAGTGTGTTAGTACTTCTGTGCCTTACGAGGTTGTCAGGTGGATTTTCTATTTAGTGGCCTAACGTTTGATGAGTAGTTGTAGTAGCTATTCTGGCTTTAGGCTGATGTCAGACTTAGCAAATCCGGCGACAATCGACCATCGATCGATCGCAAAGTCTGGCATTGGCCTTATAGAGCTTCCAACTTTGCTGGCTTCGAAGGAAACTGGGGCAAATCCATAAAATCGTTACTTAGAAGCGTCCTCTGCTTGTCTTATGACGTTTTTGTATGCACGTTGTTGACCAAGCACCGAATAGCCATCTACCTCGCCCCAAAAACCCTGCAAACACACCATATCAACATCTATCTCTATCAACACACCATACCGAACTCTTGACGCTTTATCACTTTGTTTTCATTCTCAATCAGCTGCTATCAACATAGAAGTCAGCCAGAGGTTATAGATAGAATATAATGAGAGTTACGTAAAGATAGCTCCAAGTACAAGTCAATTCGTTCTCATGATCTGTTTCCGGCTTTCCCTGAACATTTTATAGGTGCGTTGTAAGTGTTCTTCATGTGTCGTTGTTTGGTTGAAAATGTTGATTTAATGCATGTGCCTTCCAGTCGGCCACTCTCGTGCAATATTTGTACACTGAAATAAGTGATTTACGATCCCATTGATTTATATCGATACCGTATTCATTCGTTCATTCATTCACACTGCTTTGTAGTACAGTTGGGAAATGTACTTGATCAGCCAACGACTGTGCGACAACCTGGACAACAATCACGGTGACTTTTGGCCGAGACAGGTCATCCTCGAGTTAGATAAGATTCCTCAGCTCGAGTGTGGTCTTTTTTTTGGGTGGAGTGACCCAGCTACATCAGCTATCGCTAGTACTGATACACATCGTACGCAGCACTACCACTAGACCCTCTCATTGACCATTCTTGCATAGTGAGCTCCTCCGCCGTGTTTGAATTTGTTTTCGGTCAGTTAGCCTCATTCCGTCTGGTCCAGATAAAATGAAACTAGTACTGGCTCGGAGCAGCGGCCTTATTTGGTTAGTCCAAAAGAAGGCTATTTATAGCTTAACCAGTCCGTTATCCCCCTATGAGAAGTTTGATATATTTACTCGATTCATAGAAGTGCCCTTCGAATTAGGATTGGTGTGTAAAGTCTTTAGACAAAGGTTCAATTTCTAATAGGTTCACGATTGGATTAGTAGTAGGAAAGGACCATTAAGTGAGGCATAGGGACCTATTTAAGAGTGAAAATCGTTCGCATTCACTCTTCCTTCTATCTGTAAACTCTGTTATCGTAGTAAATTAACGTTATCTATCTGGTCCCTATGAACGTTGTTCGCCGATTATTATGTGCCATGATGGTTTGATTACGT